GGCAAAATTATGATACCATCTGTTGAAAGAAAAATGGCTTGCCTCCATACAGCTGTGCCAAACACTGCTATTAACTTCTTAACAGTAAAAGCACAATGAGACACCATGGGAGAAAACGAATTATCTCATACTTGTAACCCTCGGTCATCTTGGTCTCTAATCTGGAAAAAGTAGCTGCATTCATCTTTTTTCAGACAGAATATCTCAGACGGCTGAACAGGCTGGAATTTGGCTTTTACTCTGCCTGAAGAGAGCCCAACCCATGGGGTATCCCGACATTCTTTTGTACCTTTTCTGTGCATTTAGAAAAGTTTTGTAGTTGAATAAATTTTGTAAATGTGTATAAAAGTAAAGAAATTTGAATTACACATGTACAACATGTATTTATTGGATTGAAAACCTATAATCAACAAGGTGCTCGCCAGATTAACCCCTGAATTACCCCCACAGAGGCATGTGGTACTACTACATACCACTACATACCAACCATTGAGATATTTCAGTCTGTTCAAAAGTTGTGTTATCACCCACACTCTGCCATTGGCTTCCATAGAGCCATGCTGCATGGATGCATGTCTAATAAAAATAATTTGCTCGACAAAAACAAATTACAGCTTTGTTTACAAAAAAAATTAACAGGGAATTACTGAGATGTGTGAATCGTGGAGGAAAATGTAGATGATTCACATTAGCAAGAGATAAAAAAATAATGACATTTTCTCTGCAATTATTATAAATGGCAGGTTTTGTCCCACATGAAGAGGTTTCAATCTTATCTTCATGACTGGTCTTGTCTGCCACACCAGTTGGGTGAAGCCTTTTTATGAGTGTATGTGAAATATTTTCCTACCCATTACACCCAATTCAGATTAAAACGACTACAAGGACAGAGCCATAGAGAAGACAATTCAATTAACAACGCTTGGCCCTCAACAGGGCCGGACATGTGGAGAAGTGCCTGAGGGGGTTGAGGTTTATTTTTTTTTTTTATTACTGCAGCAACAGTCAGCAAGGAGCCACTACGCTCAGAATGGATTATTGTATCTGGAGGATTTAACATAAATAATGCCACCCCATGTGCATTGTACATATCTTTGTCCTCACACCCAGAGCACATTAAGCTTCCGTGTAAACCGAAACAGACACAGTTACACAAGCATATCGTTTTAGATTCAGCAAATGAAGTTCTGCTACTTTGCTATGCTCCTGTTTCCACATAGGCAACACTCAAAGTGCTCGGAAAGATGTGTTACCTCATTTATGACTTGAGAATTACATCATGTTTAATTCTTCTCCAATGGCATTAGCAGCAGGTACGACACAGACCTCAATGCCCCTAATGAGTTATGTGAAATAAGATTTGGCTGCGATCATAGTAACAACAAAGACTGATGGGGCTGCCAAGAATGGATCATGGGGTAATAACATTTCTGTGATTTTGTTTGGTAACAATTAGACCCAGAGTAATTTGATAGTGATGCGTCTAGTACAAACAGAAGCTTTAAAAGAGGTGGATTATGTAAGACAAAGAAACTACACCCTGCTTTACTATGACAAAAACCATCAAGAGGTAACCCACAGCGGGTCTCTTTTGTCTGAACAAGAGAGAAGAAGAAAATGCCTCCAGCTGAACACATGCTTTGGCCTGTGGCGGTGCTGCGCGGGAAAAACAGAGCGTGAGCTGTAAGCAGCGATAAATGAAGGCGACAAATGTGAGCAAGAAACATCTCTTTGTCATTTCATTGATGAATACAAGAGCCTATTTGTTAGCACCCGATGGAGAACACTTGTCGTGGGATGGCTATGTATTCACATAATACAGAGCAACTCATCAGCCTCTAATTTGCAGCGATGTGGTTAGATTTATCATCTGGCAGATGCTGGGGGTCCTTTTTTTTCTTCCCCCCACTCAGATACACAGGTGCAGGTGTTGGGGGATGCAGTTTACAACTGTGACAATGATGGGAAACAGCTGGTCCAGGAGTCATTCTCAACGACCTCCACGCATTTGAATTGCAACCTTTGAATAAACCTGTCAGATGTGGTTAGGTATGGGCTGCCGGGGCAATTTTCCAACATGGGCCATCTCCCCTCTGCTTCTATCTGCTAAATATGCGATGTTGATGCTGGTGTCCTAGGGGGAACTTGCCTTGACAGTGGTGCAGGAGACTCTCTTGGCGGATGCACAAAGGCTCTGACGCTAAGCCTAATATATTCGTCTCTGGCAGCTGTTGATATTAGAGCCAGGTTCCCACAAGGCTGTGCAGGTGAGCCACAAAACTAATGACTACAATAACAAAATCACTTTATGCTAACACTAGATGTGTGCAGACACACCTCAATATGATTGGCTGAGCAGTGTTCCACGGTTGAATTTAGGCTAATGTCTTACTACTCATGCATTTATTTTGCTGAAATGACAGAAAGCATCATACTTTCTCATATATAGACGTATGTAGTGATGTAGATCAGTGGTTTTCAAAAGTCTTCTGCCAGAGGCACACCTGTATTCTTATCCATGCAAAACCCTTGTTATCATCCATTCTTAAGCGCATTGCCCTCTTTTTTTAAGCTGCTCTCTTTCACACTGGCTGTCAATCAAGGTCTTCCATGTGTCACACACTAATAACTCCAACCAACTGACAACTGCCCCAATGGCGAAAATTTGGCTTACGAAGGTTTTTTAAAAATTACTCTTTACGTTAAAGAATTTAACCTCTGTATAGAGAAATTAGTGCATACAAATGATCTGATATAATAAATTAAAAAGTAATTTATAACTTTTTGTTCTAACTTTTAACATTAGTTGCACTGGTGCGCCTAATGTTTTCATTTGAGTGCACCAGCACAGAATTTAGGTGCACCCACAGTTTTTCACCGCGCCTATTGGCACCGCAGCAATTCACCTAATTTACCTTTTCTTGAATGTTACCATATGCATTGTTAATTTCTTAACTAGGGCTTAGTTCGATTCCATTCGATTTGTTTGAATATCGATCTATTTCACAATATTTCATTGCACAAACATTTTGCCAAGATCAGAAAAAAATCTCAGAGAACGGAAGCTGTAAACTGTGTAAGGAAACCTTCTTAAAAATATTAAGGTCAAGATCAAGATTTTGGATAATATAACTAGACATATGTAATATAGGTGCAGTAATTATATGACATTTGAATGCAGGAAAGTTACATACTGTATTTCAGGTTCTACCTAATGTGTGGGTTCACAGTGAACAGTATTGTATCACTACACTGAGAGCATTATAGAATGGTAATGGAGCTGTTATAAAGAAGAGTGTGCCTCTCTAGAGGTAGCATTATTTTTTATGGATCAGGTGGAAGAGCATGGATGCCCGCTGCATCCATGCTTGCATGCTGTGATCCAAAGTACAGTGAGGCATTTGTTTAAGTGTCGATACCCTCCTGGTGTTGAGTAAAGACAGACAAATTACACAAATTAGTCTACCCCCAGTTTATCAGTGGGAAACGACGCTTTCTTCTGAGGGTCTGACTTATCCTTCACAACATCATCAACCTTGTCTCAACGAGCATGAAGTAGAACTTGTATTGTGTAAATTCTTATACTTTTATTATGATTGTAAGCTTTATGTTTAGAACTGGCTCTCGCATACGAGCATAACCTGATTACAGTAAAACAATACAAATAAACAACACTAAACAATATACAAAAAGAAGGTCAAGGACATCTACAAAAGGAATCAATTCAAAGAAAACATATTCATGCTGTTCTATGTCAGTCAAAAGGGATTTTAATTAATTAAAAGGGATTAGCTTTATGGATTTAGGGATTAACTAAATGAGCCATATCCTGAATTTATCCGTTCTCCGCACACATTTATAAATTCAGTCAACTTTAATGTCATGACAATATATGCTAAGTTACTACATTGTTAGGTAAAATGTTTTGTGTTACAACAAGATAAGTATTGTATTGTTACGTCTGCTATGGAGGTTATGTTTTCACCTCTGTCCGTTTGTTGGTTGGTTTTTATTTTTTGTTTGTGTATGAACAAAGTTGCACAAAAAAGAATAATTCATGGATCATGATGAAAAAATCAGGCTCGTATGAACTTTAATGTGTCATTCAGGTTAGAACAGGTTAAGTTTTTTAGTTAGATACATCTTACATGATAATATAAACGTCATAATAACAATCTCGTTATAACAATGAACATCTCTCATTGATAATCTGTTTTCTTACTCTTGATCATTTTAGTATTATGAAAAGGAATACTCCATACATTTAACAAGGAGCTTGTCTTTGTCTTTGTAAACACCTTTAACTTTAACTCTCTGAGAAGTGTAACTATGTTTGCAGTGTTTTTCAGCATCTAAACCGAATGAACTGGACAATCTATGTTTAGAGCTCTCTTCTTTACTGCTCAGGACAGAGGGGATTTTGTGTTGGCCTGAATATAACACAACAGACATTTAAGACTTTTATTTTTTCTGAGTGGTAGTTTAAAAAAGTGGGGCATGTCTTATATTTTAGACTACACAATGAATGTGTCCATTCATTGCACCATGCATTCCTTTTCAATGGACAAAATAGGAGTGTAACTACTGTCTCTTGCAGTGTTGCATTATGGGTTATTTGTAGCCTAGTTATGTTGCTAGACGAGTGAGCTTCTTCGAGTCTGTCTCTACTGTGTTTCTACAAAATAAATACATGTTTTATGTGTTTGGTTCGGGATGTTTGACCTGCAGGAGTCCATGAAGGCTGCTGTAACACGTTCTGTTAAAATATATTCATGGCCAGTGAGAACAAGTTCTAAGCGCCATCCCAAGTCTGTCAGCTAATAATGACGTCTGTCACAGACTATGAGCTCAAAAAGACTAACTGTCAGTGAGGGAGGGATCTACTCGCTACAGTAACTCAGTCAGCTGACCAGTTGGCACTGGGATACCTGGTTTATTTTACATATCTCAACAGTGAATTGGACTTGACCTCGATTGACATACAGAGTTTTGATACTCACATATTCTCCATATGTTTCCTGGACTATGGGAGGAGCTGGTCGGTATCCAGCAGCTGGTGGGGCACCTCTGGCTCTCTGCACCCCCCTCCCTCTGGAGGATGGGGCGCGGCTGAGCGGGGCTCCTCTGGGTGCTGCTCCTCTGGGCACAGCAGCATGCAGGGAAGGAACTCCTCCTCGACTCCTGACACAAGACACAAACATCCGCGCCAGGTTTAGATGAAAGAGCATTTTTTTAAATACATTTATTTGGAGCGAGAAATAGTCATGTATTCACAGGCTGGATGTATCAGATAACATCTAAAACACTCTCTTCTTACTAAACATGGTGAAACAATGAAGCACTAAAAGGATACTATAACAGAGATACTATATGATATCATCAATACGTGATGTCCACTGCACTCCACGTCTTTATGATGAGCTGCAGTAACTTATATTTGTAGTCGAGCTGTCCTCTCTACCTCCACTCCAGCAAATGATTTGCTACATTGGCCAGAACAATTTGATGAATTTGATACATTCAGTGTCAGGTAATATGTGTAGGTGGAGCGAGAGGAACAGCGAGGATGGAGGGCAAGTTTCTCCAGTCGGGAAAAAAATGAGTCACATCCATTTCTCAAACACATTTCTTGTGGCTGAATTGCTTTCCTGTCTATTAAAGAAAATGTATATGGAAAAAACATGTTTCTGCCACTTCAGTGACGGATGTGTCGTGCAGCTTGGTTGTGAACATTTATATTTTCAGTCTTGAAATAAACCAAAAACCACTAAACAACAAACAATTTTTATTTTATTTTATTTTAAAACCTGCTTTAGATCTTGCAGTGCAAATGTCTGTGTCTGACCTTTAACAATGAGGTAAGAAGTATGTATCCCTGCAGAGAAACAGCCACGGTGTTGATATTGATCTCTACAGACATCTAGATGAATTAACACAGAACCCATGAGTCAATCCTGCTCTGTAATCAAAATGGAAGCAAAGTCAAGCTCCTCTGTTGGAAATGAAAGGCAGTCTGACCTTGTGGTTTGGTGAAACCTTGTTTGGGATTTAAACGCCGACTGAGCTTTCTTTTAAAAGCAGTTAACTGATCTGTAGCAGCCGCAGAAAACCACCAAGGTTACTCTTCAGGTCATTTTCACATTCTGTGCTCTCATTTCAGCGGTGAGGCACACTGCAGTGGTGGATCTTCACAGATTTGGGGCAGAGGGACAAAAAAACACCCCACCAACTGAAATCTCTAATTTTCTGACTAACGAGGACAGCGATAGATGTTTACTGGATAGAAATCGGGCAGCCCTCAAGCGGAGAATAAAAAAAAAAAAAGAGTTTATACTCCTTTAAGAGCTTCTCATCCAGCAGCAGTTCAAGTCAAAGGCAAAAGCAGAGAGGAATATGTGACAGCAAGTTGAGAAGTTGGCGCTGATCAAAATCAAGCACATGTGAGCGCGACTATGTATAAAACTGCATGCTACTTCCTGTGCAGGAGCCTGTGGGACTTGTGTCTTATCACACTCAAATTAGGCATGGTAAATGCTAATTACAGTGTAATTTAAAGCACGGCCAATTATTATTCTGACTCAGAGCAATACAAACAGCCCATCCCGGTGACCTTGTTTATCTCGAAATCTGATGAAAGGAGCGTGTTTTCTTTTATAAACAAAGAATAAACAAATGCTTCATTTTTACAGCGCAGCGTGGATGCGTTGAGTGTTGGAGTCTTTTAATGGTCGTGAGTATCTTTATTTGTAGTCCTGTGAGGTCTCAGAGGAGCTGGAATTAGCATGGTTCCACAGGGATTGAAGCATCTACTGGACATCTTTTGCATATAAAGGCTTTTATGCAAAACTGGCCTAGCTCTGCTGATGTGTATGGACGCCAGTCACTGCACAGTGGTGCACTACGAGACAGTATTTACAATCGGTGCTGTAGTGCTATGAAGGCTTCCTGCTCCCTTAATGACCAGACTAACCTAATTCAACGCAGCACACACGGAGCAAATATTTCCTATAAGCAACTCGAGCAGAGGATCAATGTTTGTATGGATTATTATTTTTCCAGTAAGTAAATTATGGCTTCTTATGTATTCATTGTCAGTCGGCTGGATTCCAAGGATTCACAGTAAACTATGCAGCATATAATCCAGTTTTACTTTGTCATGATAGTTACAGCCTCACTGTTCACTTTCATACAGCCATCTCAGACCTCTGTTAAGTCACTAGCTTCAGATATATTACACTCATTTTGGCATTTGTTGGCAGTGGATCTGTTTTAAATATTCCTGGGAGCAATGGAGGGCAGCATGGTCGCAGAGTGGTTAGCACTGTTCCCTCACAGCAAGAGGGTTCCCGGTTTGACTTCCCCTTCGGCTGGTTCTCCTCGTGTCTGCAAGGGTTTTACTCCAGGTACTTTGACTATACCTTCCACAATCCAAAGTCATGCTGATGGAGACACTAAATTAACTTTGGTGTGAGTGTGAATGGTTGTGTTGTCTTTGCATGTTGACAACCTGGGTGTCATCTGCCTTTCACCCAATTTGGATGTATGGGACCAATGGATTAGGATGGAGCACCTGGAGTCAGCTGTAAGATGAGGACTTTCAGTGCAAACAAAAATGCCCAGACTACCAACTGGGTGACTGTGCCCTGCTTGCTACTTGTGTAAAGCATGAAATCAGATTTTGGTTAGTATGTATGTTAAATCACAATGATGCTGTTTAGTTGCACCAGCTGTATTCAACTGCAACTTTAAAAACTGTCACCAAATCAACCAGGACTGAATATAATTTACAAGAGTCACAATAATTTTAATATAATGGATTGAGTTTACAACAAGCCTGAAAAAAGCATTAATTGTCTAAGTCTGTCACATTTAACATTTAACAAGCACATGTGACACCAGGTTGCCTGTGTCTGACTCTAAAAACATCCTGACCAACAGGATAAATTGTTTCAACAGCAGAGGACAGCTGATTACTTTGCAGTTTTGAATTAATGCTACTGATCTCTCGGGCAAGGAGAGCTATATGGTTTTCCAGGCACGCTACCATTAACAACATGTGAAATTATGCAGAGCATGCTTGATGACAGGAACAATAAACAGCAGGGAAAGACGAGCTGCTCGGCTTTAGACTGTTTTCACTTCAACCTTACTGCTGAATAAAACATATGTATTTTATTTTCTCACCTAGTGTTCAAGCCGCACCCCCTGAGAAGGCGACCCCCTGCAGCGGCCAGGTAGTTTGATATCTCTGTCCTGGTTTATGTACAGGTACGTTATATTCTTAACAAACCACTGCGAATACTTAACACCATAAGCATAATGAATATTCAGTGTAGGGATGAGCTCAAGTTTGAGACTGAGCACTCACATGTACAAGTTCCTTCATCACTTGATGGTCACGCAGCGGTTTTTTCTTGATAATGTGCCATGCTAGCTTACCATGCAATGCTTAAGGGACAAACACAGGGGAAATAAACTCTGCAATAAAATGAACAAACTACGTATGTAACCTTTATGAACAGATTCCACATGTATGAATATGCAAAATTTGAAGGCGAAAGATGTTGGGGCTGGAGGACTTCTGCTTTGGTTAAATTAAAGAGACCAAAATTCATTGGCTGCTGGCTTTTTAATTATTTACAATCAAAAGCAGACAGCTGTTAAGAGAGATAAGCCAAAATCACCATCCAGCTCATAACACCTAGCGTAGTGCTGTTTGTGTTTTATGCGGAGAAACATTCGACTTAAAAAAACTAGTCGGACCGTAAACAGTGAACAGTGAATGGAAGAAGAGCGTGCTATTTTATTTTTAGTGTACAGGATGATAGGGAAGGAGGGAAATAAATGAATGGAGAGAAGCCAATGGGTGTGACAGTGATCGTTGAAAGAAAAGAGAAGATTTAATGTGTTTCGTAATTGAACTTTCACAATCATTTCTGGCTGCTCAGTCCAGGGAAAACTGGACTCGCTGGCATTAGATGTATAACCTGTCTCGTTGCAATCACATCCCGGTAAGTTCATTAAATCATCAGCCATTTGCAAAGTCGCACAGTGCAACTTTAAAGAGATAGCCTCTGTGCTTTGGTTTGTAGTTTCATGTCAATCATCTATATTTTCTCCTCTTCTGTGTAATTCCTGCTGAGGTCTGCACACAGTCAGAATAGTTAGGAATATCAGGGCTCATTTTCCTGCCTTCAGAAGAAGCAGTTTTTGCTGCCATTCATTCTGAGAAACAACTTCTACAGAGAGGGAGCGATAACGCTTCACATTAAACAGGAAGTCTTTGTCTGGTCTCTTTGAAGTTTTATTTGTCCTTTATCAGTTTGTGCTGGTACAATTTGATATACTGTGCTCGCCGTCAGTCAGCCAACACCAACAAGTCTTAAATAACAGAGGGTGTCGAGAGTCTGTGCCTCCAGAAATGGCTCACTTCCCCGGACGGGAATCACAGTGGCTTCACCATTGTTCTAATTTTTTGGGCTTTTGATTTATAATCACAGCATAAATATATGCAATGCATCAGTAAACAGATAAGAAATACCTTTAACTAAATCTGATGATTAATTAATTATTATATTGTACCAGTAAGTAGAGTTTGGCAGTGGGTTGTGGCTGGTGTTCATTAAACATAAATGTGAGCTTGACAGCGGGCATTTTTAAACCTGAAAATCCAAACCAGGAATCATGTCTTTGTTACACTTAATATATTTGATCCGGTTAGTTTTGATATGGCTTTGCAATTTTAGAGAGTGGACAATCTTGTATGACGTACGTGCATCCTGTCATCATTATCTTGGGTTGCATCTACTGATACTTGTCATTGATTGGTGTGGATCTGATGGGGTCAAGTTGTCGACTCGGCGGGTAGTATCTCTCTGTGTGAATGTAGACAATGAACCAGTTCAATATCATTGTTATTACTACCAGCTTCAGGGTTAGGGTTAGTTCAAATGTGTGAAATGAACATTGTCGTCTTTAAATGCAAGCAATCCTGCGAGACACTTCTTTTTCTTCTTCAATTCTTCAATGCGGTCTCAACTTCCTGTAACTGGTCTATAATTCTGAACTATCCATAAAAAGTGTTCACACTGTAAATTACCTAAATCGTGATTCATTTGATCTGAACAGAGACCACCGCTTTTGGTGGGACTAAATTTGGATCCATTTGGAGCGTGGTCGCTAGAAACCTTTCACCCTTCATATTTTGGTTCAGACTGAAGAACCAAGAGAGTCTAAAGGTCTGGACCAAAAGAGGAAGTTGTGAATGATCCCAATGACTGTGTTATGAATCCTACAGGATGCACCACTGCTGCTTATACAAGTTTTGTTTATGTAATGCATTTGAAAGTGTTGTAATGTGCTGTAATAATACACCTTCTGTTTCTCCACCTGCTGCACGCTCAGAGCTGGGGCTTCGACCATGCCTTCTTCAACACCCTATATTCATTTCTTTCTTTAATTACTCACGAAATGAAGTCAAAGAGAGTGTCACCTCTATTTTTGTCAGGGAATATATTATTTTCTGCATTTGGAGTTTAAATGGAGCTAGTTCAGGCAGCCAACTCTAGCAGAGAAAATTTCCCATCACTCCCTTTGCTTTCCATGCTGCTGCGTCAGTATTGCTGCCAGTGGCTTCAGCCCCTCCACCACCCCAGCATGCGACTGGGGGGTTGCAAGTATTTGCTCATCACTCCCATCATATCTATGTAATCATATCAGGGGGAGTGATGAACCTGTTCTACTGTTGAAGTAAACGTTTGAACCTGAGTTGTCTGACTGAGCTAACTAAATGTTGTGGAGTCGAGATCACAAGGTTATCTTTGTATTATCTTTTTTAAACCTGGCAAACTTGCTGGTTTGCCATTTCACAGTCTGACCTGCGCCTTTGAGCTGCTTTCACTTGCAGCCGGCTCCTGCAGTGCCGTCCCAGGACCAGTTCAGGAGCTGACTGCGTAATGAGCTGCTGCCTTCGTAAATCAAGAGCCAACACATTACAACCACTGCCAACATTTGCACTGACACATTTAGTAAATCTGGCCCAAATTGTTTAGTCATTTGAGCACAAACAACCAGACCTGTACGCATGCAGAGAGAAAAAAAATTGGAAGGTCTCTATCAAGAAATAAAGCCTAAAAAACATAGTAAACTTTAATGTGACATGTGTGTGTTCTATTATAAAAACAGCACAAGGGAGAAGAATTTATCACTCGTATTATTGTAGCAGACACAGGCAGTCGTAAATGTGCTCTAACTCTAAATGATACCATTAACTCTGGAATTGCAACAGGACACCGTACACATCCATTTACAGTGAAAAACGCTGCCTTCCCAGTAGCTCCTTTACTGTAAATAATACGTGGTCCCCGGCGGAACCAAGGTGTGTGCATAACACATGCATATACATTCACACACAAACACACACATGGAAGCGGATTACCTGGGAGGCCCCGGAACAGGTGTCCCTCTTCCACGGACGGCTGACTTGCCCCTCACCGACGGCACCTTGGCATCCTCCGAGCCACCATTCAGGTACGTGAGCTCCTGCAGCTGGGCCTGTCTGATCTCATCATTGTAATCCTGCACACAGAGAGGCAACATGTTCACACACACTAACACACAGGCAGCAGTTACTCTGTATTAAATTACGTCCTTTATCTCCAAGGCTACAGCCCCGGGAATATCTAATTAATGTACTTTACAGTACTGTCGTGACCGCGTTTCCTGAGGCAGCTAAACATTTCAGATTTCCTGCTGATAAATTTCCGGAATCGCATTTGCCTTTATCTTCTCACACAGTTGTTGTTTTTCCACTAAATTTCCACTAAAAAACACATAGATAATTAACACGGAAATAGGTCTTTAATCTTAAAACGATTGATATGATTGTCATGTGTCTGCTCTATTGATAAATATGTTTTACGGCCACAGCGAGAAGAGTAACATGGAGTGGGGGGTCGGTGGGGGATAATAGATGATGAGATGTAAATCATCATAGCTTTAAGCGTTGGAAAGATCATCCATAATGAATGGAGGAAGAGTAAATAAGCTCCATGCTGCCTGCCCCTGCCAACCAGGGTTTGGCTGATACAGGACAAAATCCCCTCCCATGCCCCTAAATTTTTCTTATACTCATTAACCAAAATCACACACACACACACACACACACACACACACACACACACAGAGAGAGAGAGAGATACATACTCCGACAGCCCTGACAGAAATACAGTGCAAGTTACAGACAGAGAGTGAGTGAAAGAGCAGGTTGTCTCTGCTGTTTTTACTGGATTCCCTGTGAGAGGCTGAGAATGAGTCGGTCTGAGCCAAAGAGCAGCAGCAAAGCAAAAGGGTTCAGAAGGAGGAAAAAGGACTAGATCAGTAAAATCGCTGTGCGTGTGTGGAGAGACAAGGGAACGCACTGGTATGAGAAACTTCTTGATCTCCTCCAGAGCGTGACCCATCCTGGCGTAGGCCTCAGCAGGCGGGGCGAACACCTCGATGAGAACGTGCAGGTCTTCATTTAGGTGGTGGTATTTGGCCTCGCCGCTCTGCCGTAGCTCCTCTTCCTGATGGAACAAGAAAAAATAATAATAATTGCACTTGTGAGTTAGCTGTCACAGTCCGGAGTATTTATCTTTTTAAAAGACAAACAGGAAATATCTGTGTGGGTTGTTGTAAACTTGTTTTCCGGCACACAGGAAATCCCGGCAGTCTTTTCAGCTGCAGGTGTCAAATGTAACTGATTGCTTCTGTCCTCACACAGCTGCCTGTCCTCATAACATGTACAGACGAACAGTGTGCTCTCCTGCACTTCATCATGATATCTGCTCTCTTTTTCTCATATGTATAATTCAGCAACTCTGGAAAGACAACATTTTATTTTATAGCATGGAATATTTACATTTTTCAAACTGGCATTCAAAGAAAGTCAGACATTTTTATAGTTGTATTAAGTTGTATATGTTATTTCACTCTGGACACAGTGTTTGTCTAAGAAAGTATTCAAGTCTAAAGATTATAAGAAAAGGGAAGAATGTTGCTGCCAATTAAAAACTGGCTGCATGGTTCATTATCTGTCATAGTCAATGGGAAATCATACCAGTTAGGATTTGTCCAGACTTTTTTTTGTAACAAATCACAATATCATTCGATCATCTGTGGCAGTACAAGGTTTTATCCACAAACCAGAAGGGCAATCAGTGAGAGTATACCTCCACCAAGGCCCAACATGAAACCACATTTAAATTCACTAGATTCAGATTTGTATTTGGATCTGCACCAAATTGCTTACTCTCATAAATATCAGTCCCGTAAAAATGCCTTTTTTCATCCAGATCCATGAATTATTTATAGCAGAAAATGTGGAAAAATATCCAATCTCACAACGTTAAAGAAAGTGATAAAAAAATCCTAATCCTGGATCTGCCTCCTGATCCAAATCTGCACCAAATTAAATGGGTTCTTTCTTGACCCATAACACAGCCTTCCACCAAGTGTAACGGTGGCCCCATACAGTCCTTTCTGTGCAATACTGCTAACTAACACTCAGACAGACAAACAAGCACAGATGACGATATGAAAATGTAACCTCGGCGGTGGTAGTAATCTAAACAAAGTGGATCCAAATCTTGCACACACTGTTCAAGTAAGAGGACATCTAGCTGCCCTAAAGGACTTAAACCTGAGTGATTTGCTTTGCCACCTTTAGACATAAAACAAATAATTGAACACATTTGTGTTAGATATATTTTAAATATCACAAATATCACCCTCATGACAATGACAATTCAAATGTCAGGACTTCATCAGAATTATGAGGATTCATGAATTGAGGGTCATAAATATCTCCTCTAATTCATACCAGTGAGGTGGACTAACCAAACCCTCCAACCCTGCAGTTGTGATGCTAAAAATGTTGGTTTACTGTTTAACTTGGGTTCTGTTTGTTAGAGTATCGTAAAAAACCTGCTACAGCAAGACAACAGTCAGCTAGTTGGGTCAGATAAGTCATGACAACTACTGCACCAGACTTACATCAAATCCAACACTAACTCAATAAATCATTTAAGAATCTAACACCTAACCCTGGAGCTGGGTTCCAACACCAATTCAATAACCTGTTTCCATCACAGAAAGCATTGATTTATGGACATTCATGGATTTGTTGACCGTTGTGTCAGATTCAGCTGCATCATGTTGCAGAAGTTGTATAAAATATACACTCATTATAATTATGTATGTGTATATTCACCGGAAACCAAGTCTGTCTGTCTGTATCTGTAACCTTTTATATCTAAACAGCGGGTCCTCTTCCACAGAGCCCGCCATGTTGCACCGCCATGTTTCTAGTAGCTCATAAAGGCCTTTCATGTTCCATTCCTCTCTCTGCCACACACATGGAAAGGGAGGCAGTTTGCAATCTGCATCCGCACCTCTAGATGTTAGAAATCCTCCACACTGGTCCTTTAAGCAGGTGCAAGTAGACATGAATGACTAAAAAGCATGAATTTGTTCCATTCAAACTTCTAAAAGTGGAGCAGATGTAACCTCTGCCTGCTGATGCACGGTTCATTTTGACAGAAAGTGTAAAGTATAACATGTAAACAGTGAGGGGCTGCACAGGCCCGACAGAAGCAGGCCAGTATAATGATATTGATGGCAGGAAATAGGGCAGCAAAACCCCCAAATGTCTCCCACCAAACTACATAAAGGAAACAACAGGTTTAGCGTCCCAGTTTCTCCTTTTTCAAAAAAAAAAAAAAAAAAGTCTTCTCCGGGGCCTTTCCAATGGCGGCAACTTCCTCTTCCCCTTCTCCCTCTCCAACGCCATGCAAGTCAGTGCCTCTGATGTCACCTAATTATAAATAACCTTCTTTTAAGACTGTCTGTGGTATGTTAATGATATGTTAATTTCCCCCATAAATCTGTGCTTTTCGAGCAGAGGGCTCCTTTGCATATAGCACCAGCGCTGACGGTGACGAGCAGCGAGGGTAAGTAGGGTGTTGGAAAGAGACGACATCATGCAGATCTGTCTCTCTCCTCTCCTTTTATGTGTTATTTAGTATATTTGCATAAAAGAAAAGAAACAAAAAACATTATCATTATCTTCCCCACTATCATCAGCTTAAAAAAAATACAACCGAGTCTATTGTTAGTGTCTTTTATTTCAGGACTTTCCAAAGTATTGCTCCATCTACACGATATATTCAACTTGTTTGAGTGTCAGTGTTATACAGTGTGGATATATCATTGATATGAAAACAGTCTGTACGTGTGTCCACATCTTTTGCATATGATATCGTAGATATTATAGTAGTTTTCTTACATGGCGGGACCCTCGCCCAGCGCTGATAAGAAGCATTCATCATCCAGCTCAGTGCTATAGCAGCTAAGCAGCCCACAGCAGGAGATTACAGCTGTCTGTTTGTTATATCTATTGCCAGCATCTTCCTTACATTTTTGTTTTTTTTCAGTAAATCTGCTTATGAAAATCTGTTCAAACAAAAGGCCACGGAGGACTGGACGCAGGACCTCCTGCAGACAGCGCTTATAGAGGTAACGCACGATGTCAGCTCTCAGAGCATCCACATTCAAATGAAATATTTAAGGAAGAATGGTGCCAATTTCTGTTTTCTGTCTGACTGACAGGTGACGCTTCAAACTGTGCAATACAGCAGTGTACGGTGGAGACTCCTCAGATCCATCAGCCCGGTTCATCTTCTGAAGGTCAAAGTGGCTTCTAAATACAAAGACTAGATTTCCTCTCTAACAAGGTTGTATACATTTTCTTGTAGATGTCTTAAAGCATAATTCTCATCTGTACAAAAACAGAGAGGGTGTCCTCTGCATTGTTCTGAGTTCAAGATTATTTGATCCATTTGACCTCCAGATCCCTGAGATCTACTGACCAACCGGTGCTCCTAAACATTTTCACTCGTTGTTCCATTGTTTAAAACTAGATTTTTATCATCTTTATAAAAGGTCGTTCCAACTATAGGATGGATTGCCATGTATGTTGGTTAACATATTCCTGGGCAGGTTTTAATGATATTGTTTATCGTGGTCATCAGGTCAATCTTTTGATTTCTCCAATATTTGTGACCAAACTATTTATGACCAAACAGAGTCCTGCTAAACTTGGATAGTGAACTTGTGGGAAACAACATGGAGGAAGCGTTACACCTTCTACACAGCAGCATGCTAACATTGTCACAGTGAATATGTTGACCATGCTGAGCTCAGCATGTAGTTCAAAGCACCACTGTGCTCAAGTTCAGCCTCACAGAGCTGCTACCAGGGTTCACTCTCAGACTTATTCTGTGAAAGCTTCGTCTTCACTGCAATGGACATTTTTGAATCATTGTTGAGCGAGGCTGTGGCTGGTTGCTCAGTTATGACATTCATTCCACATAAATCAAAAATGTTAAATGTATCACCCCCTGTATAGTGTATTGCACAAGAGTGTTACCTTTGGGCAAGACAAGAAAAAGTAAACGTATTACACAGAATATACACTGCAGAAAAAATATAAATTGTATTTTATTTTCTTAATTCAAGTTCCATACATTTGGTTGCATTTGTTTTTTAATTTCTATTATAATTATTTTATAATAATTATTAACTATTTCATAATCATTATTTATGATTAAGTTGATGGTTGAAATGTTAAATATCAAGTCTTACTTTATGTCTTTGTCATAAATGTTCAATAAAGACATCCTTGTCTTTTTGCGTAAAATATATATATTGGCCAGTATTTGGATTTGGAATTTTCTACTGTCTGATATTAGTATCCATATTCCACATCACTCAGGGTGATGCAGAAAAAAGTAAGTGAATTAGATGATAGTGAATTATAGTGACAATAACCAATACATCATTATTCACTTAGCCTGTGAGCTTGTGAGTACAATGGAACGTGTTGTTTGGTACAAAACACTGTTTGAGCTTTATCGCCTGTAATTCATATCCTTTTTAATGTGATTTCAATCATACCACCATGTGTCTGTAAGGACCACACAGTTTATTTTGATTGGAGGACAGTTCTGACACATACAGTTCAGACTTACATACTCCGCTTGCCAAAAGATGGTATTAATTGTTGTGTCCATCAGGAAAATTAAAACGGAGAGTACAAGTCCCATGGAGTAATATGGATGGGTTAATCACAGCGCTAACGAGGAGTGGGTGGGTGGGGGTGTGGAACGCGGACTCCTTTACATCTTCCCGCTCTGACAGCAGCAGGACAACTGAGGTGCCATAACTGGCATCTCCGCACTCACATTCTCATCAACTCGGGATCCAGGTCACTGCAGCAGCAAATATTTGAGCAATTATCTCAGCTCTTTGTAGCGTCTCCCCCGAACATAACAGCTTATAAAAGGAATGTACTGAACGCTGTAGATTTTCATCTTCCATCGGTTGTGCTGTATTTTTTTTGTCTACCGCAGGATAAAAAACGTACATTAGTCCTTTCCTGCCAGTCAGGTGCCACCCTGAAGCAAAGTACAGTATGTGTATTTTATCAATATAAGTAGGAACATGTTGTTTAAGGCGACAGAGCCTCACTCGGTGCTTCTGAAAAATAACAGCTTTGTTGTTGACTTGAAAAAACCCTTTGGGTAAAAGTTGACCTGTCTTTTTGCTCTGCAGGGGCCCGGCTGTCTGACCTACACCAGGAATTTTAAGTGCCGAACAGTACAATGCCACATGCTGCGCAGCTGCAGACAGAAAGTCAGCAACCAGTCGAAGATAAAGCAGCAGTTTTGTAGGGAGGGTGTGTCCCTCTCTCCTCCTTTACAAGAGGAACCAGCTCTGCGCAGGGACGGCTGTCACTCATAAATCCCGCAGCGGGCTTGTGCAGACAGGTGAGAGCTGCCGAGGTCAGCACATCTTTGTGCGGATCTTTTTTTTTTTTTCTTTTTCTCCAGGCGTGGACCATCAAAGAGTATTGATCACAGTCATCAAAAAGAATGTGCTGCGTGATGGAGAAAATCATCGCCACCAACAAATCACTTCCGACGAACAGAGAGAAGGAGATGAGCTAAGTGAAGTCGATTTATTCCCAGTTAGCCAGTCCACTGTGCAATCAAGTCACTGTTGGAGCCTCTTCTATCCTCTCTTTATGAGACAACATGATTATGGATGATGGAAGTCAATTGTCTGGATTTCCAGATTTTTCATCCTATCTTTCTTGGACCCAAACCACAACTACAGCATCTATTGCACAAATCCTGAAGCCTGTGTCAGTGTCCAAATGAAAACAACACAGTTTTACTTTTTGGTTCTGTTTTGTCTAATTTCAATTTACAAGAATTTCTAGGTTTTTTTTCAGTGCTTAATCAGGAAATTCTATTCGATATTTTAATGCGCCAAGAATTTCAGTATTTTAAAAATGTTGTCTATCATTAAAACAGAATTAAGGCCTGACAAACTAAAGTTTTAATGGTTAATAACATAATTACATTCAAGCATTGCTTAATTATGGTTTGACTATGTTAATATAAATAAATAATCTTAAATGAACAGATTGAACAGATTGTGGATACATCTATTAATTAATTGTATTATATTTTTAACGATTAGTATACATTATCTTAAATCTAATGGATTAATTTAAATGAAATATGAGACTAAACTACAAAAACTTACAGATAAATGTAGATCTTTTAAGTGTTTTTTTCTATCAGATTTATTTTTACAGTACAGTGTTGTTCAGCTGATCTGACTTCGCTTTCTTTTCCTTTGAGAGAAAGAGCGATGGAGAGCAGGCTCTGAAAGATGTCAGCCATCTTTGGCAAACCTCACCATTGTTCACATTTCCATAAACTTCTGGAATTTGTTTTTCAAATGAGGCTGTTTTTCTAATCAGTGCAGAGTCCATGTGACCCGAGAGCTGTCAGTCAAATATCCTCCGAGTTACAAGAGGTGATCAGCTCGCATCTGATTTCATATGAGACGTACATATCAACACTGTGTTTTAGGTGTTTTTCTTTTCTTCCAGGCAGTGATATAATGAAGTCATATGTGATGTACTCAAAGCAAGTAATTTAGAACTCAATTAAAAGTTTAAAAGGCTCTGTCTAATTAACTAAAACACACCAACTACATTTCAAACAAGCTGCAGTTGATAACAAATTTCCACTGTTAGACAGTTTCAGAAAATGTCATTTAAATTAAACAGAGAATTGGTGTTAAATATAGTAACTCTGTAATGTTGAAATTGTTTTAGACGAACTGATATGAAAATAATCAAAAGCAGCCCTTATTCTAATCATAAATATGACTCAACTTCATGAACACTGAGAATCACATCTTTTGTTAATTTAATGTGTCGCCTCTTAAAAATACAGCTAGTACACCGGAACAGTGAGGAAAACTGAAACAAGAGGACAGAGTCGTTCTGTGTCAGTGCATTTGGTTTGTCAGAAAGTTCCAATTTCAGTTGGATAGTACATAAAACTGTTTCTTTCTACACTTCAAAGCTATGTCCAGCCCACCTTGACTTCAAACCATGTGAAAGACTTAGAGCAGCAGACCGAGATAAAATGATGTGGAGGTAAAAGAGTGGAAGGAGAGGGGCGAGCAGCATTAAAGCATGAAATAAAAAAAAGGGGGCTGGAGTGTTACCTTCTCTTTGTCTCTCATGGATCCTTTGCCGAGAATTGACATCTTTGTGAGGGTGTCCTCCTGTAGCCTCTTTAACGAGTTCCCGCGCGGCCCGAGGAGTTTGCCAACGAAGTTAAACTGCAACAGAGAGCGAGAGCGCGGATCATTCAGAATGTGTTTGAGATACAGAGCAAAGACGTGACTGAAGCTAATGAAAACGTATGAGCAGTTTTTCTGGCCCATGTTAAGACAGAATCAGTGTGACAGCATTTCTCAGTATTTATCATTCACATGATAAATGGTGGAGTTTGTTATAGCCTGTAGCAGTGCTGGGACGCTCAGGCTGCACCTACAACCTCTGCCAATATATATTATATGAAAACCTGGATGCTTAAACACAAACTAAAAAAATCACAAGTCCAAGGGTTTGTCTGTTTTTTGGCAACTGGAAATAAACAGAAGTAGGAACCTGGATTTTGAAAAGAGGGAGGGACCTCCTCTCCATCCCCATCTGTAAATTATGCCCGTGAACAGTATTGAATAGAGAAGACTGGGGTCGATAAGGTACATATTTTCTTCAACTTTTTTCTTTTCAAGAGCCATATTTTGTGTCCACACTATATTATCCTGGGTGAAAAAGACTTAACAATACAACTTGTGAGTACAAGATATTAGACATATTTATGTACAGACCAGATGCTGATTTGTGAGACCAAGTTATAACCTTCTGTGCAAAAGTGGAATAAAAGTCATCTGTCAGGCCTTTGGGGGTGCCATGGTACTAACGTGTTATTAACACACAAAGAATAAGATGATAGTTGGTTATATGGAAGTTCTCCCTTTGTAAAATTGGTATTGGAATAGTCCCAATGACATTAAACTAGAAGTTTAAAAAGTAAATGGATTATATTATATTTCCAGTCTTATCGAACACTCAAAGTGCTTTACAGTAAAGGTCACACACACACACACAGACACACACACACACACACATTCATAGAGTGCGTCTTTATGTGGAACTTTTTCTCCTCATTCATTCACTCATACACTGTCGGCATAGCTGTCAGGGGCAATTTGGGGATCAGTATCTTGCCCAGTGACAATTCAGAATTCAGACTGGAGGTGCCGGGGATCAGAGGGGCTCTATAATCTAGAGGAGCAGAGAAAGAATAATCATTACATCTACATTACATTTACATTACATTAAATGGGAAATTTTATCTTAACTTAAAATCATGGATGTACTATGATTGTCCATAATTTTACTTTCTATTTCCAATTCCAAACATTTGTTACAAGCATTTGTTACAATATTCAAAAATGCATAAAAAATTTCAGTTTGATCCCAATGTGTTGAACTCCAACGCATTTGGCTCGTTGTCGTCCATCACCGGCTCCCTGGTTATAGATTGCTTCGCAAGGTCACTGCTTTTTAGCCGTAAAAACCCAAATGTTATGCATGACTATGTCGAAGTATGTAGTGAGCAGACACCCATCAAAGTCATACAGCCTTAACACGGGCAAAGCACAAATCGGCTGGAGGTGGTCGGAGAGACAAAAGGAGAGCGATGCTTTTCTCCCCCTCCCCATGTTTCCCTTTAACAGTGAGTTATACAGCTGTCTCCCTCAACTATCTAGGTCATCAATTAGCTAGCAGGAGGTAAAAAACAGCCAGTTTTGTTCCACACCTCACACATACCTCTCCTGCCTTTTGTTGAGGAAGCGGGTGCTTATTAGGAGGCTGCTGCCAATTCCTGGGTGAGGGATTTGAGAGGTGAGCTTTAGTGATTCGCTCTAATGCAGTAACTGACTGTTGGCTTTTCATCCCGGTCAGGCTGAACACCAGCAGCTCTCGGCTACTGTATGTTCCACAATGTTCTGCAAAGTCCTGTGACGGGATGTGAGTATGCAGGGCTGTGTTCAGCCGTCGCCTGACAGTAAATACCATGCCCCACTGTGCTAATTTCAACCCTGCAATTGCAAATGGGAATAAGTGGCCCCCTGCAAAGTTCTGACCTTGGTCTGATGAATATGTAAGACGAGTTTGCCTTCACATAAAAATGTGTGCGGACTTCTATTCCGCCGTATCTTCATTCACAAGCTTCCGCCATCACTTGAAATGCTGCAGCACCTCCACTGAAATTTGCACACTAATTAACTTCAAATACAGTATATCGAATACGACATGAATTGTTGTTTCAGGAAAATTCAATTTAAAGTTATCTAAGCAAACAAAATGTGGCCTGCCTCTAATATATTCAAGTTTACAAAGGGATGATCAAAGCCGACAGTAGCGCCCGGGCGAACAGAGGGTGTCGGGAAATGTTTTAAATGTGCTGAGTTTAACCGATGTCCTGCGCATCCATCATTTCCACCTGGATACAGCCCTGATCACTGAGCTGTACCGTCTCTTGAACAATGATTTGCGAAGCCAGATCACACAGCCGACATCTCTCCGTGTTACTACAGCTTTTGTGCACCCGTTCCTCCTGACAGGTTGAGAATGGGACAAGCTGTCCACAATGTGTTTGTGTGGATCTCTCAGCTCCTCCCAGCGCTGAGGGATAAAAACGCTTGAACGGGGAGAAAAGCTTGTTTTGGTTTTTTTCCCCTGATCAAGAACTAAGTGCCACTGTGTTGCTTTCAACATAATTTTCCCGGAGCCATTATCAACTGTGCATGGCATTGGCATAAGACAACGAACACAAAGGAGCAAATTTACAGGAACAGGAAAATCAGACAGACTGTGAAACAGAATGTAATGCAGACATAAATTTACTGTGTGCAGACTGGGTTTCATCAGGGAAACAATTAGAGTCTGGCTTGTTGTTGAACTGCGGCCAGAACAAATGTGCTTTTTTTCTATTTTAGAAAATACAACATTGTCTGTTGTGGAGAGTTTACAGTACAAAAACGGAATCTGCTGAAGGGGAAAATTGTTACAATGTTCTTGGTCTGAATGCAAATCCATCCTCAGCTATAACCGATGTGCCAGGTTTACCTGAAGAAATGAAGCTACCAAAAAACACTCTTTTAATTAAAGGTTACTGTATTCATTTCAGAATGTAATTATGTCCGATTTTGTAAACAGTGAGAGTTGATTCAATTACTAACCTGTGGGCAAGTTTGTAATTTAATCAATCTTGTGAAAACTAATTAAAGGCACACATACTGAAAAAACAAACAAAAAAAACAATTGTATTAATTGGCAGGCTGTTTTTATCCTATTACAGAGGAAACCGCTCATAGTGATGATGGATATACTGATCATGGATAAAGTGATCAACCCTTTATATGGATCAAAAAGCTTAAGACAGAATCGTTCCTATGCAAATTCTGTTTAAATAATTTGGTTATAGTGATCAAGTAGACTGCTTACAGTGTCCGTTGTCTTTTCATACATGTTCGGGCTGTTAAAAAGTTCAATGACAGTGTTTGTGTGTCTTTGTTTGTGTCAGCGCAAGAGAGGGGGAAGAGAGGGAGCAAGATGGGCTGATGAATACACGAACAGCAATGAAAAAAGAAGAAAATGAAATAGAAAAATTATATGGATTATCATGTGGTGATCAGTGTTTGATATTGTGGCGTCATTTTAAACTGCAGTGGGTCAGATATGTCAGCAGACTCAGTGTGTGTGTGCTCTTGTCAGGATATCTTTGTCAGGAACACTTTGAGCCTACACCTACGGAGTGAGGATATTGTGGTCTTTACTTTCTGACCCACCTTTAATGGACTACTTGGGGGTTAAGACTTGGTTTTAGGATTATGGTTGGAATTAGGTTTAGGTTAGGGGTTAGGGTATGCATTATGCCAATGAGTGTCCTCACTAAAACAGGTGTGTGAGTGTGTGTGCTGTGTGCTGTGTGTTGTGTGTGTTTTCTGGGACTATGATCATTTTGTCCCAGGCTATACGTGATCACTATAAGTGGTCTCCACTCTATTTAATGTTCTTGTTTAATGCAACATTCGTATTTAATTGGTCAGGGGTTAAGACCGCAATGTCTTAAATTAGACCTGGTAACTTTGTAACTCTCTAATTAATTAATTGTAAGGTTATAGTTATAGTATGGTGAATGGTGCCTCTAAAGCACAAGAGCTTGACATGATAAGGGATTTAATTTGGGTATTAAAAGTACCAATTACATACTAATTTGTTTGGCTAATTATGTTCTGATGAGAGATATAATTGCTGCCTGGATGTATTTTCTCGCAAGTTTTAGGCCAGAGCATGGCTATGGTAAGGTTAAAGCAAAGATGTTACCTCAGGTCAGTCAAATACCTATCATAACTGTGATTTGGTTCCAGCATGTATCGTATTACAAGAGAGTATGTGAATACATCACAATATAATATCATCATCATGTTAAAGTAGATATATTATGTCCATATTCAGGTTCATACGTTTAACTTGTGTTCTTACTTGAAAAGCTCTAATGTTCAGAACAAAGCTTGGTTGTAGCTCCACTGTTGTTACTTGGATTAATTACTTGGGATGTTTGGGGGACGTGCCAGACTAGCATTATGCAATTGTGGGGCCATGTGTCACATGACATCAAGATGGTGCGGAAGTGTCAGAGCTTCAGAGCAGCTCCCTTTCTCGCAAACTTGGGCTTTTTAATTCTGCAGTACTTCTACATACACAGAAAACCTATATCAAGCACTGGACGGAAGAAAAGAAACATTGAATTTCACCTTTGATAAAAACGTACCTTAGTTGCTTCTAAGCTTCCCTATACAAAGACGAATTAACTGTTAAATGTTTAATTATTAACTAAATGGGTAACATAATACATTATACTGTATAAGTTACATCATTTCTAGGAGACAGAGTTAGATGTTGGGGTTTTAATAAAATCCAGGGCTTCATTGTTAGGGCTGATTGTGCTTGAATGTTATATATTGCAATTTCATTTGTTAATGAAATCGGCAAATAGAAAACCTGAGGCTATGTAAAACGCTGTATTCAATGCAGTGAAAGGGACAAACAGAGACCCTGTGGCTCTTTTCCTAGGCTCTGTTCAAAAGCTGGTTAATGAGGCCATATCACTTTTTGCAACTTGGTCACGTATTAGATTTACACAGTTTTGATCTACTTCAGGCAATCATATGTGCATGATATAGTGATATTGGTTTCTTACTATTTTAACTTCTTCACTATTTAACAAGAGATCAGGAGGATTTGCTTGATATTTATTTGACTAATGCCAGTAAATGTCAGACAGAAGTCTTAATCTTGATATTTAAACACATCAGCTCCCAGTCAATACATTTGCAGAGGCATACACACACACACACACACACACACACACTCTCTCCTCATATGGACAATCCAAATATATGAGTCTTACTGAACACATAACTGTAATCCCCGCTGTTTATCAGATATCAAAATCCGTCTGGGGTTTTTGCTAATGCTTACGTTATCACGAGGGATTATGTGGCTTACTAAAACCTGCCTGGGCTCCTGTACCGGTTCATGTCATTAGACTTTGTGAGAGGATTGTGCTGCCTCTGTCTGTAATCACCAGAATAAAAGCTGATGTGTTTAATCACAGGTTGCTGCCTGCTGCGACGCCGTGCTGCCAGTTGCACAGAAAAAAATGGCAGAATATTAAATTCGCAAACGAAGCAATGACTGAAATTATACAAAAAAACGGATTCGATCGGTTTGCACCATATCCTGGTTGTCTGTCTAAAACAAAAAGATTAGAAAGAAAATGGATGAATAGAGAGGCTGCGGACACAAGTAGAGAGATAACGTATGATTAATCACACTTAACTTGGTTTGGGGGGATGGTGGTGGTGGCGGCGGGGGTGGGCATCTGAGATCTTTTCATCATGTGCTGAATGTATAACTGCGAGGCTGGCGAAAGGTGCGCTCGCAGAGAGCCGGCGCAGTGATTGTGCTGAGGACAGCAGGACAGGAGCGACAGCAGAAGGATAAATCACCGCTCCCAGCGCAGAGAAAAGCCACAGTCTGAACTGGAAATAAACCAGTGGGACTCCTTATGCCTCGCTTAATGGCCTGCAGTGCTTTCTGCCAAAGGATGCTCTCTGAGGCGGGGGCCCACCGTTTCCGCGGGTGTACAGATAAAAGTAAATGCTTATTCAAAAGATGGAATAGTTTTATTTCCTGAGTAGGTGTGACATTATGTTATTATCAGTTAAATCATGATTTGAAATCTTTAAGTAATTCTCTTACACGTAGAATGCTGTCTACACAGTAGGCCTATACTCACTGGCGTAGTAACATGGTAGTGTTCTGAATCAAACATGGCTGTTGTGCCAAAATATGTCCAGCCTGCTTTGCACTCTTATGAGTCCTTTCTGTTTCATGCTATATTTCCCCTTTCATCCACCACCTTTTTCACAAATTTGAAAATAATAGTGCATTGTGCGTTGTAAACTGTTTGGCCTGTTGTAATGCTGGTTGCAGTTTTCTTTCTGAAACTGTAAAAGTGACCAACGCCGAACTGGAGAATCAGTTGTCGTTGCTGTTGCTGTGATCAACAACGGCACTTATGTTGAGTCCCATTATAAGATATGTGTTATACAGACAGATAGACAGAGATGGCGACCATTACAGTGGTTTTACACTCAATATTTTTATCATTTTGACTGAGCCAAAATTTCGCACTACATGTTCTCACACCTGCCAGTGTGATAGCACTAATAGACTCAGGTGTAAGAATGGAAGTATTGGACTTGAGACACAGAATTAGCCTCTTTCTATCACATAGATAATGTTTTAATCTTCTCTTTTTTATAAAAAAAAATGCTGTTGGCAGAGCATCCATAGGATAAAGAAAAGGTGGAGAAGTGACACAACAGACATAAACCATGTCGCACTATAATATAATAAATATCTTAGAAAGTGTAGAAATCCATCAGTGTTTGTTTTTAAAAATCACTTGTGAGGAACAGCTCTATCACAGGGAATCAGCAGAGTGGAACCTGCAGCGTGGTGTCCTTACCTGCTTCATTTTGATGAAAAGCTATGTTTGTGGAGGATGGATTTAACCTCTCTGCACATGCCTCTAAATGTCTATTTGGAAAATGGCTGTGCAACTTCAATGCCAGAAGCCAAAAGGTGATGCTCGCAGCTCAGAAGAAAACCCATTCAAGTCAAACCGATCACTCTTGCCATTGCTACCTGTCAGACAGAACAAATTGAATTTGTCTTCCTCCGCTGGCTTGTTGGAGCTCTAAACAGCGTATTAGTGGCTCTACTTATCAAAGCTGTCAAAGTAAATCTGTTTAGCTGGGAACCTCAGAGACTCAGATCAGCCTCCTGATGACATGACATACAGTACATATGGAGTACATCACTGAGATTGTCTTTGTAGAGTTTGTTTCATGTCATCACTTATGACTCATAACTCAAGCAAAGTTTCATAAATATCATAACTACACACTGAAATATGACCACTTATGTCAGTTTGAAACTGCTACTGCTGTGTAGGCTAGCTACACTAGTGCCAAGGAAATGTACATAAATATACAAATGTATTGATATATTAGATTTTTTATTTGATGTAAACTATTTTGTTTCTGGTCAATGTGGCCACTTTCATAACTGACCTAAAAAATGATCACTGTAAAGTATGGTACAAAAAAAATAATCTTAAGGATATGGCATCTTCATTCTGAGAAAACAGTCTGACATTCCAACAATGCAATTAATGCAGCTGGATCATCACCAAAAGGACATGGATTAAACCTGATATTGAAAGGTGGGTGTCTAGAAGGGCACAGATTATACTTATTATTATTATCGACAGTATTGTTGGTCTCGAAATATCTCAACAACTGCCACAGACATTACTGGTGCTCTCAGGGTGAATTATATTACCATTTGAAGAATAATAACTATTTTGATTTAACCAGCAGAGAATTGAAGGTAGTGAGGTAACACTTCTCTGAAAAAGGAACCACTTTCATCACATACACGACAGATCGTCTGTGTGTGTAACAAGCCGAGTGTACACATGTGAGGCACATGTTATGCAGGTACATAACAGGCCTTCAAAATAACAGTGAAATAGTTTGCAATCGACTTCAGACCATGTTTGTTGGTCAAATGCACCAATCGCTCAAGTGCAATTTCTATTGCTATGCTTGGCATTGGGTGTAAAGCCCAAAGTGTTAACAATAGTTAAGAATAAGCCAATTTCACCAATGTTATAAAATATTATTATTATATTTGTTTCACTTTTGCCTGGTACTGATTCCTTCCTTATGTTACATTAAAGTGTCTTGTTGAGTGAGGATGTGTCACTGAGCTGATACGGCTCTATGGTGGGTCTCTAAAGCTACATGAAGTGTTAAAGTAAACGCTGGGTGTGGACTAATATAAAATCTGGTGTATTCATTTTTACACCTAGTAACTGACTGACTTATTTTACTGTGTCATATAAATTCTGATTGTGATGAGAAAAAGCACCAGGAAACTAAACCCAAATGCACCTTGAGGGTGTTATTGGTACAGTGTCTGACTCCCTGCTCTCTCCATCCATGTACTGCAGGTCTGCACTACCGTCCCCCCTGGAGGGCTGAGGTGAAAACTGGATTGACATATAAGAGTGGCCCTCTCCCTCCAACATCAGCCTCCCCATCGCGCTCCCAGTGGGAAATCCCTGTCATGCACAGAGCGTGTGGCTCCAATAAACTGCAGTGTGGCTTCTTGTGAGGCTGAAGTGCTCTCAAATGTGGCAACTGCAAACAACTTCACAGGGAGGTCACACTGAGCTGACTGTCGAGGACTTGGTACATGTGAGTTCTGTGTCACATTGCATATTCACCCTCACCTGAGACACGCATCCACAATGTATCAGAGGACATCTGCTGTCCTCAAAGCAATGAAAAATGGCTTTAAATATTATACTAATCAATATTCATTGACCAATTTAACTTCCTGTGGAGGGGTCATTCACCTAGACTGTTAAAGGTACAGTGTGTAGATTCGCTGTATGAATGGGGGCAACGTCAAATACTTTGTGTCCTCCAATGTAGACAGTGGATGTCTATGCTGTTCACTGTGCACTGTTCACAGTCCGACTATTTTCTTTAATCACATGAGTCACAAGCAGTGGTACTTTTTGTAAGTGTTTTAGGTCCAGAAGACATTTTGGCTTATCTCTATCAACATTAATCTGCATATGACTTCAATAATTAAAAAGCAGATAGCAAATGCATTTCTGTCAATGTGTTCCGTCTCTTTCGCTCTGACAGTTTACCTGCGGGCAAGCGAAGCCTACTTAAACGTGATTAGTCAAACTAGAAACCAGAAGGTTTGCGTATTCACATACACAGCTGTAGACTTGTTAATCTCACACACCTCAATATTTATGAACTTGGCATTCAAAAGTAGAGAAAGTGCTGGTTTGAATCTATAATATTTGGTTTTTGATTGATATCATCAATATTCTATCAATAAAAGTTCATCTAGACAGAGACATGACAAAAGACTAAGACGTCTCACTCCATTGGATTTGTTGGAACTGGTTGTGCAGTTGTGTTACAGAGTGTCAGTTCCTCTTGGACAAACTATCTTTGACAAGACAGAGAGCGCACAAACTGACAACAGTTCCACTTAGGCCTGCCCTCAACTTAATTAGCTACAGTGACGATCAGCAGTAGATAGAAATGAGAAGCTACAGCTGAAGTTGTTCTGCTCTGCATTGCATTTCACTGTGCACGTTGTCACATGTCAAATCAGTAGATATCGCCCAACCCACAGATATCAGCCCATCATCGACCAATGTCCGAGTCATGGAGAGGTGTGTGTCTGAGGGCAGAGTGAGGTTTACAGTTGTAACATTTCAAAAGCTGCAACGATCCTTCAGACAGGAAGTAACATCCCTAATATAGTTCTACCCCAGTTCTGTCAGCAGACACTCCGCCTGTTTGCTGTCTTCCAGATACGCTACATCTAATAACATAAAGCATCAACAAAAACTGTCAAGTGGCTGTTGCAAGGAATTTAAATCAAAACCAGAGCAACTGTAGTTGGCTTCATTATCTATAAATAACACCATCTAAAATTCTCTATCTGTGCACATCACATTCTTGGAGAAGTCTCTGGTGGTGGTACTATAACACTTACTTTAGGAAACTGCTTGACTGGTATTAAAACTTTCTGGCCCAGTTTCATGTTCTTGTTGATGACAACGTCGATGAACTTCTCCTCCTCCTTCCCCTCGTCTTTCTGTATTTTTTCGATCTCTAAAAAAAAAAAAGGCGAGAAGAAAAATAATGAGTCAGTGATGAAAAGCAGCAGATATATGCAGGACTGTAACTTTAGTAATTACCACTATTATCAGTTAAAAGCATATATTTATTTCAGGAAATCCACATGTTTTTTTTTATTTTCCAAAGTATCGAGATTCCGTGTCCATGTTAGCCAGGTTTCTGTCAGCTCTCAAGTACAAGGAGATTTATGTGCTGCAACTGTTTCAGTCCACATGCATCTGTGCAGCCGCTCAGGCTGTAACTCTGGTTGCCAGGTCAGCGAGCGCAGGTTTTGGTTTTGGCTCTGGATAACCACATTGGTACCAAAAATGTACTGAGGCAACAACAGTCAGAGACCCTGTGCCCAACAGAAGGTTTCTGCATGAAACGAACCCTCAAACCACAAACTGTGGTTACTGTTTGTGTTTGTAAATTGTAGGTTAATGAGGGAACTCTGAATGTGTTGGCAGATGTATTTTTGATCGAAAGCCAGCCCTTCTCTCAGGCTTTATTGATAGCAATGCTGTTACCCTTCAATTTTCATATTAGTACAGAAATAAAATTAGAGGTAAACATGTTTTTCAACTTCTCATTTTACAGAAGTTTATTCTATATATCTGATGAATCACTTCAGCACTTTCAAGGCCAAATGTGAATATTAACATGTTTCTTCTATGATGATTAACCACATATCTCTGATATTTATGTTCTGATATTTTATATACCAAGCAAGCTGTTTATGGAAACCATCATTCGTTGCAGACCAATTTGTGAGCTTATACCAATGTTTTTACCTCACAAAAAATGTGGCAAATAAGGCTGTATTTTTTAATCTCCTGATTTTTATCGGATTTTTTAGAAGAAATCCAAAGTCACATCTTCAAACCCAAAGATATCAAAATCAGAAGAAAAACAAAAATCTTTAAATTTAACAAGATGGAAAAAGCAAATGGTCTGCAATTATACTTGATAAATATCCCAGAGGGAAACTCCACTTTATCACAAATTAAGGTCATGTTCCTGGTCATGAGGACTTTGACACAGCCTGGTTGTAAATGTATAAATATATATATATATAAAGTATCTTTGATGTCTCTGAGATTGAAGACTACCAATGAGAGCGTCACACACTGGCATCAACTGGGACACAGTTGAGTAATACTCTGCAGGTATAATAACAATTTGTTGGTCGACTTAACAAACCCTACAAATTATGCTTCTATTGACAAAAATTGTTAGGTTCCTCTAGCGTCATTCATCTCACCTATTGGCAGACACTCAGTCATCTTGATATGTTGAGTAGACACATGCACCAATTTACTTGTACCGATACGACATGTGCCAGAGTCCCTTTCATGTTCCTAATAAAAAAAATGATGGGGAGGACACTGGAGCCTGCACCTCCAGGCGACCAAAAATATTGGCTGTCACGCTTCTTCATTTGGGAGAGAGAGACTTTGATGTATTTGGAGATGTAACCTTGAACGTTTAATCAGATGGATAACATCTGTGTTTCAGTGCCAGGAAAATTGTTTGCAGAGAGGGCAGCTGAGAGGTGCAGGGAGGCTACGACAAAGACTCCAGGCTAAAAGCCCAGCAGGGGAAAGGGTAAGGCAGAGAGTGAACTCCATCACAGATTTATTTCTCCTACGCAAAGTGATTTTAAATGGAAAAAATGCAGCAATCGTGATGCTTTAGCGTTTCAGTTTTTGAAGCGTGCTTCAAATTCTGATGTGATGATTAGATTCAGGCAGAAATAAGGTCTGTTATCTGAAAAGCATGATAAACTCAAACATGTCCACATGCTTAAACACCCAGATTCACCACATGTCCATATTTTTCAATTACACAAGATGAGAAATGAGCCAGGCATATCAGCCCTGCAAACTAGAAACTAGAAAGGTGCTTGTGATTCCTCAACTAAGCTCTGCAGCGTTGAATTCAGAATGTTATGAAAAACTCTGATATGAGTTTTAACGAGGATTAAAGACAAATCATGTGATGGAGATATCTTTAAGCTCCAGTTTATCCCAAGGGATGGCAGAGAAAAAGACAACATTAATATTAATGCATCGCCTAGCAACATGCCAAGTCGGAGCTTCTTCCTTTACACCAAGCGTTGTCCTCAAAACATTCAGGCTCTGATATGCGGGGAGATTAAGACTGAAACCATTTCAACTACAAACCATTTTCTCTCTCAAGCTTTCAGCGTAATTCTTTAGATTTGCCCAAAAAGACATTTTTGCATTTCAAGAGCAAATAAACCCTAGCGGGGTCTCTGCAATCAGCAGGTGTAATAAGCAGCCAAAGTAAATGAGCTTGCTCTGAAAATGGCTATGGAGAATCAGCGATTGTAAAATTAACTACAGTGAGAAGCACCCTCCACCTTGGAGTCATTATCGAGTGTTCAAAAGAAAGAGAATTGAACATGAATCACTGACACAAGCACAGTGTGCCTGCTGTTGAGAGTCCTCTCTTCTGGCTGCAAATGGATAGTGCATAGCTTGGTATTCTCTTTTTGATCCTTGGAGAAATAGCATCAGTAAAGGTCTCTTTATAGTTTTTGTTCCTTAAAGCTGTGGTTTTATCAAATTCTGCTAATATCGCCTCATGGACGCTAGCTGTACGTTCTGTGTTTGTGCTGGAAACAAATCCCGTCTAAACGCACAGCTGTGGCTCTATACTGAAGAAAGAAAGTGAAACAAGCCAAACAGTTTAAGCCAACACTATGTCATATTATGCACAATCATTCTTACATTAGAGCTACAAATGCTAAGTGCTAAATCACCTCAGACTGCATCTTACCCATATAGGATAACGATATTACAAAAGACCTACGTGAACATTGGTGAGGCGTTTCAACTGTGGAGAGATCCCCAAGAGTGAAAGGAATAAAAAGGGACGAAGAGGTTGCTCTGTTTCTGCTTCACAGGGGGATAACACAATTTTGACGACTGAAGTTGTGTGAGGAATGAAATTAATTAGTGGCCAGTGTGTGTCTCAGCTGCTCGAACATCCAAATGAAATGACGAAAAGAAATATTGAAGGTTGAATATTTCCTTATTTCTGACTCTATGAGTTCTGGGGGAGTCACTCTGTGGATATATTATTGAATATGTATGTTCACGCTGAATTACGCACAGTTCCTTGTTCCTGAACGGCAGATGAACCTTTTCATTGCTTTGCTTGTATTTGAGGATGGCAGGAGCAGCAAACGTTCAACCTCATCCTCTATATATTTATTCTTGGTGATTGTTCTGATTTCAGTTGAATAGATTAATTTATCCAAGATCCGAAATAGAGAAGTTGTTAGTCGAAAGTAGTGGCAACTTGCAAGATGTCATGTTTCTGTACAGTCCAGGTATGCAGAGGCAAGAAAATTGGCAGAATTTGAACTTGTCTTTTGATAAAATTCTCTTTTTTACTCTTCAGATGCACAAACAATAATACAAAACTACAAAACCGCGACTGCCTTTGAGGAAAGTGGAGACGTGTGTAACTGTTATCCCCATTGGTACGATAGGCCCTCTAAATGACAGCAGGTTTTCCATTCCACCTTCAAGTGTGGCCGTTCGGGACAGCTTTGCCTTTAGACATGATCAGATGGCGTGCTGCAATAAACTGTATGGATCAAATGGCTTAGCCAAAGCCCATAGAGTCAACCCGTGTAAAGAATAACTAAAATAACTCCAATATTTTATTCAATAATTCAACATTGATTCTTTGGTTTCTCTGTTAGCAGCTAATGCATATTGGTTTAGAAAGATGAAGTGACTTTATTCTTCACATAGTTTTTCACAGATTTAGAAATAAACTAAGTACACAACTACAAAAACAAAACCAGAGTTGTAACCAACTATTTTTACATTATTCATTTAAGAAGAGAGCATGAGCAATGTGGTTTCCCCTGAGTTCTTCATGTTTACAATCTTTAAGAAAGATTGTCCCGCTTGAAACATCTCAACTTTACATACTTTGCACACATTAAAAATATATTTACTGTCTATAAAATGCATCCGGCTGCGTGATGACGCCCCACAATGGGAAAGCATCCCAGCTGTCTGCTTTTCTATTAGAAATGCACTCGCTTAAAAGCAGCTCTGTGATTTAGGCCTTCCCATTTAAAATTCATAAGCTGGGTAGATTTGGTGGGATTATGCATGACTTCAGCTGCGTGCTGGAGAGTCGAGATGGGGACGGAGGCAACTGGGTCATTAAGTCGACCAGTTTCATGTTGAGGGTTGAGATCATTAATACAGTATCTGCACACCGGGTGTTCCCACTTGTTAGTGGACAAGGCGAAGGACTAATGGGATCATATGTCACTTTGGTTTACGTGCCGTGAACATAATGTCCGTGATTTCTGATCTGCAGTGCAATGTCAACAAGTCTTTTTTTATGTTTTGCTTTTACGGTTTTTGGAGTCCAACTGTAATAAATCATAGAATGAGGCTAAAAAAGAAAACTGAAAATATATAACAAATTCTGTAGCTTTAAAAGTTTGGCTTCTATAACATTAAAGTAACATTTAGTGGTCAACAAGTTCTTCTTATTGAACCTGTTAGGAGTGAAACGCATTTATGCTTTGCTGTGTAGGGTTAAGGTTAGGGTCAACTATTGTTATTGTATTTAATAATGTTCACCAGTCATTTCTAGTATCAATACCCCTTCACCTGAAGAACAAAAATAGTGTCTATATAGTAACTATTCCCTGGTGAACATTTAGTCAGCTGCATGGTCAGCTGTCTTCATAGTTAATGCACAGACATGAACGTGTATTGATCCCATCATTCAGCCCGCAAAGGCAGATTTCCCAAAGTATTCAACTATTCCTTTAATGTCAATGAAGCAGATCCATGAGAAATTGATGCTCATGTAAAGTGCATGCTGGAGTAAAGTCCAAGATACATTGAAGAGTGCAGAGGACACAGATCTATGAATAATCGCTTTACATTGCAACATTAAGGCATTTTTCGTTTTTACTTTGTGAATTA